CACGTGGCTCCATCATAGTTTGTCGTTCTTGTATATGGTAGATTAATCTTATAGAAAAGACAAAAAATATATAATTATGAAACGAGTAAGTTGGCTATTAGTTATTATAATAACTGATAAATTGTCGTTATTATAGTAATTGATATGTTGTCGTTACCATGGTAACTGATATGCTGCCATAATTATAGTAACTGGTAAATTGTCGTTATTATAGTAACTGGTAAATTGTCATTACCATTGTAACTGATATGTTGTCGTTATTATTGTAACTGATATGCTGCCATTATTATAGTAACTGGTAAATTGTCGTTACCATTGTAACTGATATGTTGTCGTTATTATTGTAACTGATATGCTGCCATTATTATAGTAACTGGTTACTATAATAACGACAATTTATGGTAACGACAATTTACCAGTTACAACAATAATGGCAGCATATCAGTTACAATGGTAACGACAATTTACCAGTTACAACAATAATGGCAGCATATCAGTTACAATTGTAACGACAATTTACCAGTTACAACAATAATGGCAGCATATCAGTTACAATTGTAACGACAATTTACCAGTTACAACAATAATGGCAGCATATCAGTTACTATGGTAACGACAATTTATCTGTTGTAACTGATGTGCTGCCATTATTGTTGTAACTGGTATTTTGCCACTTAACCATCCCCTGAAGTTGTTTAGAAATGGAAATTGACATCTCTGCTTTAGGGATTTATTTAAAGTTAAGAAACGTCAAAAGTCAACGCACAATTTTTATGTGTGTGTGTGTGAAGATAAGGCAAACGTTCTGAAATGCGTTATTGTTGTGCACATCTGCTTTTGTGGTCACTTACTGTTAAAACTAGCCAAGGCAGAAGGGGTCCAACGTTTTTCAAGTAATCGTGATGACCAGGGTCGCACTAAAATTTACAATGATAAAGATGTATAAGAAGTGGGGTGGGGGTGGATGCAGACAGAATAACGTACTATGAATACGTCATCTCCTTCATCCACACTTGAGGACACGTTTACAACAAAGAATGTGTACGTACACATCTTCAAGAAGACGACAGTGTGCTCTGTGCTGGTGTTCTTTCAACCTCCTCCTGCACGTAGTCACAGTGTACTGCGCATAACACACACAGCCTAATTTCACGAGGCTCTCGTGGTCTCTTCTTCTGCAGACTGTTTAAAGGAAAAAGAAAGAATTGTTTGACTTAAGGTGTGATAACGGTTTGGGAGTAATATAAATAGAGTACTAGTTAGGAACGCACGGAAATTTATAATATAACAATGTCCCACGGTGGAACAAGTGACCATTGGCTAGTCACGTGGTAAGTCAGGGAAGCTTTTCATTGCATGTTTACTGCATTGCAAATATTGTCTGAGGAGAACTATGTTTAAACGCGTAGAAACTGAACTGTGTCGGGGCTTGAGTTTTATTTTACATACGACACTAAAATTCAACCGGCCTGTTTGTTTTATGTTTTTTTGTTTTTTTTTGATTGGTAAAGAATTTTGCGCATGCGCAAAGCTTTGCAAGGATTATCTGTACATAACCGTTCATTAATTTTGAACTGGTAGGTTAGAGGGAAGGAAGGCAGCTAATTAATGAACAAGACCTACAGCCAACTTTTAAGCAACTCTTGTCTGATCGAATCGTGGCACTTGATTGTCACTCTTATAGCACAACCAAAGTGCGGAGCGCTTTTTTTTTCCCCAACAGGACACGAAGGAAGAATCCTCGGATTCGCAGTCCTAGCACGCTAACTATTAGGCCCATTTATTATGTTGTTTTTTTTTTAGAAAAAGGGGGAAAAATTAAGCGGAATACTACGCCAGAATGTCGTGAAATAACGTAACGTATCAATATATTAAAATTGTTTAAGCGCAAAAGGTCAACCGTATTCGTTATTCCGAGGTATAAATGAATTTTTAAAAAGGTGAAATTCAAAAAAATGACAATCTCATCAGTAGGAGAAATTGACTTCACATTTCCAGTCGTCTAATGTTTAGGATAATACTACCTGTAGAGAATACCATGGGTATATTACATACAATGTCTACACAAGTTTAGTTCCCCTTTACGATAACTCATTAGAACTAATATTACTTTTACATCAATTATACTTCTTATATAAGACATTATTATTAGGCCTATTATATATTTTAACACTACATTCCTTATTCAGTTTTTTAGGATTTTTTTCGAAAAGTATTTCAACCACACTATGTCCGCCACTATGCATCGTCATCAATGGTTGAAGTGTTAGAAAATATAATACGCCTAATGCTAATTTCTTTTGACAAATATAATTAATTAAAATTATGCTTTACCAGCTAAGAAAAGGCGTTCACACCATAAAAAGTTGGATGCACGGGTACCTGGCCAGATATTCGGCCCCGGCCGGATATTGGACTTCCCGGTAATACTCGGCTCCGGCCGAGTGTCGAAGTTAAAAACAGCCGAATCCAGGTAATTGAAAATAGCATCTAAGCCTTAATCTTTGTGGCAACTAACGCGGTACTGAAAGTTACAGTCAATAATTGGTTTAGTTAAAAATAAAAAAATAAAAAAAATAAAAACGTGTTCTGAGCAACAAAGACTGACCGCCCCCTGAAAGTCGGGGATTCAGAGAACAATAAAGGTTAATAATAGGCATGGCTTGAGAAGTGGATTTCTGGAGAAGGTGGGTTTTTGAGAATAATAGGGTTTAGGGTTTGAGAAGTTGCGGCTAGACATTGAAAGTTGAAAGTAAAACTTGAATGTTCTGTTAGTAATTATTCGGTTAAATGTATTAAACGTCAATTTTGTTTTTGTTTCTAATTTCTGTGTATGTTGTTGTTGTTGTTGTTTTCTTTTTTTTTGAGGGGGGAGAGGGGAGAACCCGTTCTAGGTTGACACCCGGCCCCGACCGAAGTTTAATGACCGGGTACCCGGACCCGGTATTCGGCCAAATTTTACTACCCGTGCATCCCTAATAAAAAGTATTACTTTTGGCTTAACCCTAGATCTAGAATTAACGCCCATCTGGGTTTTTAATTACTTTGTTCGTAACAATAGAACACACGGACCTCACACACACAAAGTGAACAAAAATACTATCAACACTTCAGTTAATCCTATTAAGTACTACTGGCGTTTCCTGTATTGTTTAGAAAATGAACAGTTTTATCCAATTTAACAATTTCTCAGTTTGATTGATTTCGATCAATTCTGCACACTGAGTGCTGTAACAGGACAAGGCGTAAAATTACTGAGTAGGTGTAGGGTGTGTGGAGAGTTAAGGTCTGGAAACTCCTGGATTCTGGATTAACTTTTATACATTCTCCTGTGAGTAATTTTTCCTAATTTTGCTAAATTTTTACTGGAACAGATTGAAAACTGGGGGAGGGGTGCCCCTTGGCAACCCCCGCTTCTTACGTCACTGTATTATGATGCAGTATGTGGACCCCACTTGTACTAGTTAGTGTACGGTATATATACAAGTAGGTTAATTTTAGGGTTAGGGGGAATAACGCGATTTCGTCTCAACATAGTAGGGAATTCACGAATAATCACGTTAATCTAAAATTAAAGTTCTCTCTCTGGTCTGTCAGTTCAAAGTCAGCGCAGATAGTCTTTGAATTAATTTGTACAAATAGCCTAAACGACGATTCTACGTCTGGAACATCGTTTAGTATTTTTACATTTTGCTGTTTTTATTTACAACGCTAAAATCGGGGTTCGACACAGCAGATAGCTCAGTGTGGCTTTGCTTTAAAACAAAGAAACAAACATGGTTACTTTAAATTAGTTGCATGATTTGACTTTATTAGTTGTGAACAAATGTTGGCTTAGAAGATGGTCAGTTTCAATCACTGTGTATCAGGCTTGTTCCAATATGATACGTTGAGAAATCGCGAACTCTTGAGATTAATTGTATATTTTAGAGAGGATCATAAGACAAGATATGAAAAGCGGAACAACTCGTGTTATATAAAATCATTCATTTTTGTTATAGTTTCGTTTTTCACCTTAAGTCTAATTGATACATTACGTTTCGTTTTTACCCAAAGTGTAATTGATACATTATATTTCGTTTTTACCCAAAGTGTAATTGATACATTACGTTTCGTTTTTACCCAAAGTGTAATTGATACATTCGTTTCGTTTTTACCCAAAGTGTAATTGATACATTACGTTTTTACCCAAAGTGTGATTAATACATTATATTTTGTTTTTACCAAAAGTGTAATTGATACAGTACGTTTCGTTTTTACCCAAAGTGTAATTGATACATTACGTTTCCTTTTTACCCAAAGTGTAATTCATGCATTACGTTTTTACCCAAAGTGTAATTGATACATTATATTTTGTTTTTACCCAAAGTGTAATTGATACATTACGTTTCGTTTTTACCCAAAGTGTAATTATACATTATATTTTGTTTTTACCAAAAGTGTAATTGATACATTACGTTTCATTTTTATCCAAAGTGTAATTAATACATTATATTTTGTTTTTACCCAAAGTGTAATTGATACAGTATATTTTGTTTTTACCCAAAGTGTAATTGATACATTACGTTTTTACCCAAAGTGTAATTGATACATTATATTTTGTTTTTACCCAAAGTGTAATTGATACATTACGTTTTTACCCAAAGTGTAATTAATACATTATATTTTGTTTTTACCCAAAGTGTAATTGATACATTACGTTTCATTTTTACCCAAAGTGTAATTGATGCATTACGTTTCGTTTTTACCCAAAGTGTAACTGATGCAGTTGTTTTTACCCAAAGTGTAATTCATGCATTACGTTTTTACCCAAAGTGTAATTAATACATTATATTTTGTTTTTTACCAAAAGTGTAATTGATACATTACGTTTCGTTTTTACCAAAAGTGTAATTGATACATTATGTTTCGTTTTTACCTAAAGTTTGTGAAACACGAAATTTTAAAATACAACGTGGATTTTTTTGGTTCATTCACCGGTTGTTTAAGAACACAATATATTTATCGTTCGTAATATAATTTATTCTAGTTTACATTGGTACAGAAAGAACAACCTTCACCACGGTGTTTTATACAGAAAGAACAACTGGATTTACGAAACTTTTATCAAAGATAATAAATATGTAGTTTATAAGAAAACACTTGGAATTAAAATATTTACAGATCAGCGACTATAAACGGAGAACTGGACAGATAGCGTGTCTCGTGTTACAGTTAAAGGATCCATGATCTGACGTTTCTGGAAGCAAAAACAATGAAATGATGTTAATAGACAGAAGCGAACTACGTATTAAAAAAAAGAAAGAAAAATAAATCCGTGTAAGTAAACTAACTACTCATAAAAAAATTCATAACGAGCTCTCGGTAAATTAACCTATGAGACCTTTTTATTACACATATTTTTGTGCGCCAGCATTATCAAGCGCACGTATACCCGATTCGAATTTTATTAGTCATCGGGTTTTCTACCAGCCTACCCTCAAATTGAAAGTCTTTTAGGCAGGATTAGAGTAAAATAATCTGAGATATTTTTTTTCTTTTCCGTTTTATTAGCTATATTTTTGTGCACCAGCAATACCAAGTGTGGGGCACACGTATACCTGTTTCGATTTTATTACTCATCAGGTTTTCTACCAGCCTACCCTTAAATTGAAATTATTTTAGGCAGGATTAGAGTAAATTAATCTATGAGACCTTGGGCGTGATCAAATTCATCAATCGAAAGGGTTTGACCTCCTGAGTCCAAAAACTGTAATTAGACCCCAAATCGGTCAAGAGATGACGGAGCTATGAGCTAAAAGTTTGTACTTGTAAAACTCAGAGTAATTCTATGAGTCGCTATGCCCCTGCTAAAAATAACTTAAAATACATAAAATAAAGCTGACAAAAATAAGTCGAACTGCTTCTAGTTCCAGAAATTGATTCGTGTTCGAAACTTCTATATAGGAAGATCGACCTCTTCCTGAAATATAAGAGCAGAATATATAATTATATATGTTTGATGTATTTCATACCAATATCATTATTGGAAAACACTTACCGTGAATTTATTCATCGCTGGACAGTTTTATCCTTTGATTTTTAGGCAGGGCTGATAAAATAAAATAAAAAATCACATGTTAACCTTATTAAACCTTACATTGTAAATGATAATTCGATCAAAATAGGTCGCAGAAACGGATTCGGGAGGGGGGTCTGCCCACTTTCAATAGGAATCAAAGGAAAAATTAAAAGATAAACAAAGAGAACAGAGATGGAAGTAGTAGATAGATTATTTATTCGTTTTGTAGGAACATTTATGCTCCTATATGGTCCAACTACAATGTAGGCTCATCTTTTGGATGGTATAAAAAAGTATCGGTCATTCAGACTTCTTATTGTTAACTTGGATATGAGAATTGGCTGGTGTAAGCAATTGGTTCTAGAGAGATTTAAAATTTCAAAAAAGTCTTCAGCCCACCCACCCCCTCACTCTTTCTCTTTTAGGTGATTCTCCGAGATCCATTCACTTTTATCCCCTACCCCTACACACACACTTTTGAAATTATTGGATCCGCTCCTGGGTTGGCTTTGGATTTGTTTTATTAATTCAACAAAAGAGGATGATGCGACTTTTAGTTGTACTAAAAGTAGAATTCAGTTGATTAACTTGAGAGTTTCAAACAATAGTTGATTAACTTGAGAGTTACAAACAATGGTTGATTAACTTGAGAGTTTTTCAAACAATAGTTGATTAACTTGAGAGTTTTCAAACAATAGTTGATTAACTTGAGAGTTTTCAAACAATAATTGATTAACTTGAGAGTTTTCAAACGATAAATGATTATATGAACTACTGTTTCTGTTTTTTATTTAGTCTCAGCTAATTAGAAACAGCATGTCGTTTTTCCGTTTCTTTTAGAATTTACGTGGTCTACTATGTAATCATTATTTGTAGTCTTACCTGTAAATTTAGACCCTTTTGTAGAGATGCAATATTCACTTCACCATTAATGTAATCGTTATTTGTAGTCTTACCTGTAAATTTAGACCCTTTTGTAGAGATGCAATATTCACTTCACCATTAATGTAATCGTTATTATATTGTAGTCTTACCTGTAAATTTAGACCCTTTTGTAGAGATGCAATATTCACTTCACCATTAGCCTAAAGATAAAAAAAAACAATTTCTTATTATTTGTTGTTGTATAGATGTCAATTATCTGTACTGTTGTTGTTGTTATTGTTGAGATATTAACATATATGTACTTCTGTTGTTAACATATTGACTTATCTACGTTATCATTTGTAATAAGTTATACAATGCACTTACACATCAACTGAGAAACTGAAAGAGACTTAAAAACATATTTTTTCTGGAAACAAACTTGTTTAAATAATCAAATAGTTAGATCCTCAATGTTACATAATTTTCTCGATATTTTCTGCTGTAACATTTACTCCTATGATAGCGACTCTTGAAACAAAAAACAAAACTGAAACTGTTTGTTTTCTATACTTACTAGTTTCTCTGTGACACAAACAAACATCTGAAACAAAGACAAAAAATAGTTAGAAACATATTTCATATATTTTATAACATACAGTATTTCAATGTTAAGAAAATAGTTTGATTATTCAAATAAAAGATAATTCACATAAATCAGTTTACTTACATATCAATTTATCTTACTATCATACTGTGACGACACACTTTCTAATTAAAAATAAATAAATAAAAATGAAGGCAAGAATTTTAAGACAAACGAAGTTGATGTTATGGTGTATAACGTCTAAGCTGGTGGTGAAACATGACCTGACGTTCGGTAGTTTATGTAATATTACATCACAATAGAAATGATATAATTTTTCATCTTATCTTTATTGGTCCAGTACGGCAAGGAAAGAGACGTGTGATTCAAATAATTTCAATCTAATTTAATTCTGTATTACCCATAGTTATTTTTCGATGTGTGAACTTTATATAAAGGATCGTACGTGATAATCATAATGTTAGTTGTTTTGTGTAGTTTTATGTTTAATAACAAAGTTGCCCTCCCCCCAGTGGCACAGCGGCATGTCTGCGGACTTACAACGCTAGAATCTGGGTTTCGATATCTGTGGTGGGCAGAGCACAGATAGCCCATTGTGTTGTTTGTGCTTAATTACAAACAAATAACAAACTTTCCGAGTAAAATATCTAACAATAATCTGTCTCGGGCTTGATAGCAAACTTTCCGAGTAAAATCTCTAACAATAATCTGTCTCGGGCCTAATACCAAACTTTCCGAGTAAAATCTCTAACAATAATCTGTCTCGGGCTTGATAGCAAACTTTCCGAGTAAAATCTCTAACAATAATCTGTCTCGGGCTTAATAGCAAACTTTCCGAGTAAAATCTCTAACAATAATCTGTCTCGAAATCACTGCAATGTTAAAAGAGAAATGGCGACAGTTACAATCAGAATCAATCAATCACTGTTGGACAAATAAGGAAAACGTGCGCTTTGTCACTGCAGACCTTGCGATGTCTGAACTTCCACTACTGTTTCTCGTCACGAGAGGTGGTACCTGTCACCACGCGCATTCGTACGTCCTCGCTAAGTTGGTTCAGAAACATATTATTGTCATTGTCGTCAACTTGGAAGAGAAAGAAATAAAAAAAAAAGAATTTCCAGCACTGGAAGTTATTTTAAAGTTAAAAAAAAAATACTTACCTCTTTCAACTTGTTGTTATCACTACACATCTGTTTGATATACTGTAGTGGTTCAGCACCAGGAAACTTGGTGGCGCTGCAGTTTTCCCATGCTTGTGCAAGCTAGATGTAAATATACCACAAATAACGATTAGCAGTGCATATATGTTTATATACATACATGCATCAATATCCATTTTAAATAATACATTATAAACACACACTTATATAAAAAATACTCTTTTCTTAGAATATAAACGTAAAGGTACTATCAGTAAATAGATATAGACGTTATCAGATCTACCTTTAGTATGGAGTGAATGTCGAGTAGTATGTTTTAAAACGAACTTAAAGAGTTGACTATTTAAAACGAACTTAAAGAGTTGACTGTTTAAAACGAATTGGTTTTAAACAGCCGACTCTTCAAGTTGATTTTAAACAGTCAACTCTTCAAGTTGGTTTTAAACAGTCAACTTATTAAATTGGTTTTAAACAGTCAACTCTTCAAGTTGATTTTAAACAGTCAACTCTTCAAGTTGGTTTTAAACAGTCAACTCTTTACGTTGGTCTTATACAGTCAGCTCTTTAAGTTCGTTTTAAACAGTCGACTCTTTAAGTTCGTCTTAAACAGTCGACTGTTTAAATTCGTTTTAAACAGTCAACTCTTTAAATTCGTTTTAAACAGTCAACTCTTTAAGTTTAAAGAGTTGACTGTTTAAAACCAACTTGAAGAGTTGACTGTTTAAAATCAACTTGAAGAGTCGGCTGTTTAAAACCAATTTAAAGAGTTGACTGTTTAAAACCAACTTAAAGTGCCGATTGTTTAAAATGATTCCACGCCCATACCTGACTTGGAAGGTTGTTCTTAACACAATTTAGCCTCCGTTGTCTAGTGATGTCGGTAGTTTTTGAGTCTGTAAAGATAAAAATGATCACTACATTATTGATCAACATAAATAACACCGGATAATATGTTGAAAACTAAACATAATTATGTATCCATTTGTATGTTACCCTAATATGGTGCTAATAGGTTTTTAGTTTCTTGTTAGTCATGTAGACGTGAATAATATGTTATCGGGATTTTAATTATTCGTCACTCACATAAATTACCTCTTCAGCCCACGCGGAACATCGGGACACTGTATTGTGTTACAGTAAACGGATACATTATTATATCTCCATTTTCTGTAAATCGGCAGAATATATTCTTACAGCTAAGTTTTGAACTTACATTTCCACTCCACTCTCTCTCTTTGCACATAATGTAAATCAATAAGAAGTATATAGATAGACAGACAAATAGATACAGCCAGATAAATAAATAAATAGATAGACAGACAAATAGATAGATAAACAGACAGGCAGATAAATAGATAGGCAGACAGGCAAACAGATAGATAGATAAATAGATAGACAGAAAACAGATAGATAGATAAATAGATAGACAGGCAGACAGAAATAGATAGATAGACAGACAAACAGATAGGTAGATAAATAGATAGACAGACAAAAAGATAGGTAGATAACTAGATAGACAGACAACAGATAGGCAGACAGATAGATAGACAGACAAACAGATAGGTAGATAAATAGATAGACAGACAAACAGATAGGCAGACATATAGATAGACAGACAAACAGATAGGTAGATAAATAGATAGACAGACAAACAGATAGGTAGACAGATAGATAGACAGACAAACAGATAGGCAGACAGATAGATAGACAGACAAACAAACAAATAGATAAACAGACAGACAGATAGATAAATAGATATAAAAATATAGATAAATAGGTAGATAGATAAACAGACAGGCAGACAGATAGATAGATAGATAGATAGACAGCTAGATACACATAACCGTTATATCCATATATACATAATATCTATGAACAATGTTACATACTCACACATATTTAAAATAGATGATATATTTAAATAACGATTTATTTTGTTCATAATTACCAATATCAAACCGATAATTATAAAATGTTGGACGGATTAATTAATACAGTATATAACGTAGTAATCATTATATATATATACATGTGTACACAACACATAAGAAAAGGAAAATAGACATAATAAAATAATTCTGAATGTTCACAATATGTTTCTATAAGCTAGACATACAGATATAGATAGATAGATAGGTAAGTAGATGGATAAATAGATAGATAGACATACAGATATAGATAGATAGGTAAGTAGATGGATAAATAGATAGATAGACAGATATAGATAGATAGGTAAGTAGATGGATAAATAGATAGATAGACAGACAGATATAGATAGATAGGTAAGTAGATGGATAAATAGATAGATAGATAGACAGATATAGATAGATAGGTAAGTAGATGGATAAATAGGTAGATAGACAGACAGATACAGATAGATAGGTAAGTAGATGGATAAATAAACAGATAGACAGATACAGAGAGATAACTGGCTAGATGCTCAAAATTACAGGAAACCACTATTTCATCAGTTACTGGTTTACAAATTTCTAGCTTGCGATGTCTAAATTGTGAACTACTTACTGCAGAACAGTTGTTTAAATTTTGGAGAGCCTTGGTTCTTCTGATTTCTTGCTGAAGTGGCGCCGAGAATTATCATCATCATCATCATCAGGATCTTAATAGCTGATGTTTCCATGTTGCTTGGTATACAAACTGTTTTCTCTACTAAAACAGGATTCTTAATGTACGTTCTACACTTCAGCCGCTGAAGGTGTGGAAAGCTCGTAGTTGGGTTCATTTATATAGCCAAGATTAATCACGATTCACAATATTTTCATTCAAACTTTTTCGCAGAAAACGTGTACTCATTTTATTTTTATTGAATATCCAAAATTTTGAGAAGAAATTCGTACACACATGATATTTGGTCACTTCGGTAAATAATATGTTATCAATAAAAACCACCTACTTCTCGAAAGAACTACCTCTGTAAAGCTGCTAAACAATTCAAGGTCTTTCCTATGTAAACGAGCACTACTAAGCCATTGTTTATAAACTCTACGCTGATGTCATGTGAAATTGACTTAGCAATGTGTGACAAGTCAGCGATTCTGCTGAAATTGAGTCAATTGAAATGACGTGGAAATTGATTAGGTCGTGTTTACCGTGTGAGCAACGTGGCAGGTGAGCTATACAAGTTGCATACAGTCCAGAAACACACACACATAGCAAAACTTTTGGTATTAAGTTGTCTTTTGTTAACAAAAGATGCTTATAACCTTCAAAGTCATATGTAGGCCTAGCATTCAGGCAAAAAGAAAAATTGCTTCATTCAGCTAATGCTTAACTCCTTAAAGTCATTGGCCACCCCCTCTCAAAAAAGGGAGGTTAATTTATTTTGGTCATTGGACATGCTCCCCTCTCCAGTGGCTCAGCGGTAAGTAAAGTTTTAGAACGCTAAAACAAACGGGTTTCAGTACCCCTGGTGGACACAGCACAGATAGCCCATTGTGGAGCTTTGCGCCTAACAACAAACAAACCGTTGGGCATAGGACAATTTTTATACATATGTCGTACTGTACGTATAACATAGAGAGACACTAATATACTTCGAAAAATCACTTTGACAACATTAAAACTTTGTCAAAAGTCCAAACTTTTAGGAGTATGTACTTGGAATCTATAGTGAATCAAAATTTTAAATATTTTATTTAAAAACAAGTAGGGCCCCCAGTGTGTCAGTGCAGTTTTACGGACTTTCAATGCTTATAACACTCAAATCTAAGGTTCTACTTTTTGCGTTGGAGAGAACGCTGGTAGCCAGCCTGTTGCGTGGTTTTTCTCTAAAATAAACAAATCAAACAAAAGGTGCAACATTTTAAAAAATACACCTAAACTAGACACAGACGTGACTGCATCATTTTAGATTTAAAATAAAAAAAGATAAATTAATGAACAAATAATACTTGTTCTGGTCATAATTTTGGTTTTGATACCTACAAGGACTTGTTTAAACTAAATGTTCAGAACTTTTTCTTGGGTGCTTTAAAAAAAATCCACATTTTGGACTTTATTTTAATGCAAAGCCTCATATACGCTGTCTACGTTCTGTTTACCACGGGGAATCGAACCCCGAATTTTAGCGTTGGAATGGCGTAAACTTACCACTGATCCATTGGGGACTTGACTTTAAGATAAGTAATAGACTAGAATTATTCCTATAACTTCATCAGGGGAGTGTGAGGAGGAAAAAAATGTAAACATCCCGTTGACAACGACTGGACAAAGGATGACTTCGGAGTGAAATTTTTGTTTTCCTTCTCGTATCATCAATCAATACAAGAACTTTACAAGAATGAACGCCACACGTCTTGTGGCAAATGGCGAATAACTGATCACATCTACACTGTCAAAAGTGACCGGTGCGTTTGTCCACTTTTTCCGGAACGGAGGAGTTAGTACTTCTATACCTAGTCTCTGACAGCTCGAGCAACCGGTGAAAAGACTGCAAACAAACCTGGTAGCGATTGTATAAAACCTTTTTCTATGCGGTTCCGTCCAATGTTTAACACCTGACTGCGTTTTAACTCCCAAATTTGAACCATGAAAGATAAATTCACAAACTACAACAATATATTAGTAGGCCTATACCGCAAACACCATTAACGTATGTATTTAGTCGTCGTATTATTAGTGTTGTTGCATTGTCTCCTAGCGTTTATCTGTATTCTGAAAGTGTGGACGTTTACATAGCACTGTTCAATCATTCTCTATGTCCACTGCAATGAAGGGGGGAGGTCAAATACTTTAGAAAGATCAGTTACAATGGTGATTCTATTAGCCCCCCCCCCCCTATCAGCTGTTGGAACAGGTATACGTAAGCTTAAAATAGCCTAGTCGTAAGTGATGAAAAACTAACGTAGTTTTTAATGTTTTGTAAGGAACCTACTATGCCGAACTATTAATTCAAAAGAAAACAACAACTTTAACAATAGACAAATTCTAGTTTTAATAATTACAACGTTTCGGTCTATAATACCGGGTAGCTTTGCGCTCTAGAACAAATAAACAAAACATAGATTGAAACAAAAACATATATATATATGTCTATTATATTGTTATACAGTACCGATTTGATCGCTTATATACAATTGATGTAATTTATAACATTAGAACTGTTTACTTATATATATATATATATTGCATTTATTACCTGCTTTTATTTTGTTTGCAGAAAGTTGTAGTGGACTATTTTAGGTGTGAGGCGGAGGTGTTTATTGTTGGAGTACAAGTGCAATGTTTAACAAGATACTCTATGACTAACTAAAGCAACTTATGTAAATATGTAGATAACAACTCTCTAGTTAGTATAACCCTATAAATAAAGACCCACACTATAGTTAGTTGGAAACCAGTACAAAACAACCCATATAGATAAAGACCCAAAGTCCAGTTAGCTGGAAAGCATAGCAAAGTAACCACAGCTAAATAACCCACTCTCTCTTTAGCAGGAAACCGGTACAAAACAACCCATATATAAAAAAGACCCACACTATAGTTAGCTGGAAAGCATAGCAAAGTAACCACAGCTAAATAAGTAGAGACATGATTTTATTAGATGGATACTGGCAGGGAACTTTGTTTGTTTGTTTGTTTGTAATTAAGCACAAAGCTACACAATGGGCTATCTGTGCTCTGCCCACCACGGGTATCGAAACCAGGATTCTAGCATTGTAAGTCCGCAGACATACCGCTGTGCCACTGGGGGGCGGCAGGAAAGAACCCAAATAAAGAAATATCCATTGGCTAGTTAGGTAAAGTTTGTTTGTTTGTTTTGGAATTTCGCGCAAAGCTACACGAGGGCTATCTGCGCTAGCCGTCCCTAATTTAGCAGTGTAAGACTAGAGGGAAGGCAGCTAGTCATCACCACCCACCGCTAACTCTTGGGCTACTCTTTTACCAACGAATAGTGGGATTGACCGTCACATAATAACGCCCCCACGGCTGAAAGGGCGAGCATGTTTGGTGTGATGCGGATTCGAACCAGCGACCCTCAGATTGTGAGGTTAGGTAAAGAGCAGGATAAACTTAGGAGATCGAAAACTGGAAAGTAAAAGTAAAGCATGGAAGCTAAGAAGAACGTATAGCTTATGTTGAAACCAGCAGAACACTACTAGGAAGGATGTAACATGAAATTCAATCTGAAGTGGTCCTATCTTGGAAGGGCAAGTGAAAATAAAGTTTTATTTCCTTGTTGTGCAGAAATATGAGGAAAGTATATTGGTTAGGAAGGATGATAATTGAAATCCGACATGAGAATCAAGCGAAATATAAGCGATGAAGATTAGTAAAGAGAGTTAACATCCTCAGGTGTCCGCTGGTGGCTCAGCAGTAAGCTTGGAGGCTTACAACGGTAAAATTTGGGATTCGATACCTGCGTTTGACGGAGCGCATATAGTCCACTGTGTAGTTTTGCGCTAAAAAAATAAACAACCAAGCGTTTTTTTGTGGAGTGAAAATTAAGGGGAGAAAAAGAATGATATATATGAAAACTGTATTTAATATCACATTATCTTATTGATAGTATTAAATATAAACAACAGAGGGCTTACATTCTGGTTGGCTGAATGTATATGTATTTGTGATATGTATTATTATTTTTGATTTTTTTGCTGTTAAGTGAAAAGATACACAATGGGCTTTATGTACTCTGAACATTGTGGGTATCGAAACCCAAATTTAACATTATAGCCCCTCACATGTACCGTTGAGGCATCAAGGGGATAAGAATGATACGTGAAAGGGAGAAATAAGATAAATAAAGACTAAAGGACCAATGATAATTATAGACAAGATATATGCAAATAAAAATTCAAAATGACGTTTTGTTTTAAGATACATACTGTTGGAGTTATTTCTTTGAAGACGAAGAAATAAAATAACAAACTAATAGTTAAAATAGAAATAAGATTTCTTCATATTCAGTCGTTATATGTGCTCAGGATAACGGCTTCGTTGCTTAGCTTGTTTTTCGGCTATATAAACAAACTTTACATCAATTTCAGCAGGGTAATTTGTCTACAATAAGATGCTTCGAGTAAAAAAGTAAAACAAAAGACAGCTGATAATTAAAGTTGGTTTTTTATGTCGCGTACGTAATCTTCAAAACAATGGCCACTTCCATAACCATGATACATCACCTGAACTGTCGGGAGCAGGTGCAAAACTTACTACAATTGACAAGATTGTTAAATGTAGCACGACAACTGAAATAAAAAGTAACTTGGACGCCCTCTAGCGGAGTGTAAAATACCCCATTTGCAGACTTTGTTTGCATGCGTTTATTATTTTATATTAAATGCAATAGTTACTTTACCGAGGTAAGACTCGTGTCCTTGGCCTACTGTTGGAAAAATCTAGCCTTATCTCAACTTTTTTTTCTTTTTAAACCCCGCACGTGCCTAATCATGTGCACACAACGAATGGTGCACGTGCTGAGCTAAACTAATCACCTGTCGTCTAGGCATGCTCGAACTTGTTGATATTGAAGACAAGGATACTTATCAATTTTCGAAATACCTAAAAAAAAGCGATTTTAAGAGAACTTTAAGCTTTGAAAAACTATTCTTTCTTTAAACGTTAATATATATTACGTTCTCAGATGGCAGCACTGCTGTTTGGTTTTTAATTTTCCAGTTCATAAACATAAAAAAAAACAAAAA